TATATATATATATATATATACAATCCAGCATTTTTGTCTCTTATTTTGTCATCTTTTCTTTGCCATTATGTTGTGTACAACAAATTATCAAGATATTACCGTGAATTATGTTTTATTAGAGGCATGTGTAGAAATCTATTTTCATCTGCCAGTTGTAAGTGTCCAGCTGTTGTCAGTGCCTTCACTACATGCTGTGATCATCAGAGGTTCCATCAGTCGTGATGTATCCTGTAGATTTAGCTCGGTTATCCAAGGATCTGAGCAGATTCCTTCATGTTTTTGTCAAGCCAGAATGAACTAAAACATGTGCTTAATTAAGGTTTTTCTTTTTTTTGCTCGCACACTTCACACATATTTTAATGCTTAGAAACATTGTAGTCAACACATAATCCATGTAGATCACTGATGTATTAGCTTTTTTCCAGAAATGTAAACCTTCTTTTGAAATGTTTGTTTTTGGCTCAGTGTGTCACAGGGAAAAAAAAAAAAGACGTGAAGTGTCCCGGCTGAAACAATGGACTTGTCTCAGACTGAAAGCCTGCACCATTTTGTCTGTTCTTGTTGATACTATTTCTAGGGGCCATATTTGCACTGATAGTTTGTTGACTATTCTGCTGGGTTGTGCTTTTCCAGGGCCAATGCAGACCTCAGGTACATACAATCTGAAACGCCCTCGACGTTACAACCTCAATCACTGTTCTACTTGGGATTTCTACCTACGTCAAGGACTCTTATGTCAAAGCGCAGACTCCTCCTTTAATGTGCGGGGTTTCACTTCAAGGAAGCCGAGAGTAAAAACCTGAAGAAATCTCTCAATGTGTACAATCTCTGGATTTTTATCTTAGTACTCTGTGACAAGTCACCCTGCCCCATTCCTCCCAACCAGACAATCAATTGAGAATGTCCTTGTCCCTGTATCTGCAGTGTCTCTGTGTCTACGTCTTCCATCTCAGCCAGATGTTGTACAACTGTCCATGGCAGAATAAAGAGAGATCGAACTGGGTGGGAGTGATTTTAAAGAAATTCTTGCTTTAGAAAACACACTACGCACGCTCTTATGATTGAGGTTCTTACTTTTTATATATGTTACTATAATTAAAAATGAATGCTGCTTATGTTTTTTGACTACTTGATTTCATTTTTTTTTTTTTTTCATTTTCAAAGGGTGATGAAAATTCAAATATTCTGTTACTTATATGAACGAAGGAATTCATAAGAGCATTCAGACACTTTTGTAGACCCGTTGTGCATGATAGACAAAAAAGCAAATTGAAGAAATAAATCTTTATTTTTCATACAGCAAATTCTATTAAGATTGTAATGTGGGCCAATAACAAGTCTACAGACTGGTCTTTGCACATGCATGTGCAATGATTAAAGCAGAAATGACTGCACTGCTAATGTGAAGATGAGGTGATAGTCCACAATTTGAAGGACACAACAGGTAATGTAGTTATGTTTGTGTCATTAAGGCAAAAGTCCTGTCTAGATGGCAAAGGACAATATTCATAGCATATGTTGTACAAATGTGTATACAAGAGGGACTAAAGATTTTTTGAAGGCATCTCTGAAGTGATTTGTCTCTCCTCGCGGCAACAGTCGGCATCACAGCATCGACGCTAAGATGCAACGTTTCAATAAGGACCTGAAGCTGAAATGCAGAGGTCCTCTAAAGTTCGTTCTTCTACCGTCCTATATGGCATTTCTAACAGTCGTGTTGACGATGAACAAGCAACATCAACAGCATAAATACATCGCAGTATTTTCTTTGACCGTTTTCATTCATCCATTTCTCAAGTGCGGGTAAGAATGTGGTCCTTGTAGCATCACCACCACAAACAGAGGGACAAAATAGAAAAACATATACATCTTAAATATGTGAGCATCTGTTCTGGAAAATAAAAACGGTCCCAAAATACTTTCAACGTGAGAGTTTGCAGCAGTGATCGGATTCCCAGATTCAAATGGCATTTTTTTTTTTTTTTGTCTCAGTGCTGGCCGAGTTCTGTCTGGTTCCAGACCAGTAGACGCTGCTGGACAGTAAAGGCAGGGCAGAGCTGCACGTCACCCGGTAGATGACACAGGAAGGTTGGACAAGACGTTGCGGGAGCGGAGGGGTCGTGCGTAAATGTGGACCGATCAGATGACCGGTGCGGAGCGGTCGTTGGTGAGTGTTGGACGTAGCCGGACTGTGGAGAATGGGTTCCCTCCCCTGTGAAAAGGCAGCAGAGACGAGTGATGAGTGCACGTCTGACAGAGAGAAAAGGGAGATCATCTCGTTCATGTGCTTATGAGACTTACGCGAGGTAAGCAGGCTGAGATCTCGAGGTGCCGTTAGGCTGCACTGCCTGTGGAGAAAACACAGGCTCACTATCACAAGGCCAACATTCACTGTAACACACAGTATATAACCATGAGACATTGTCACTATGAACACCTCAAACATCCCCCTTTATGCCACATGTGATGTACAGTAACACACACATATATATATATATATATTTCATGCTGCTGAAGGATTGGACATGCTGGATAAATGGATGGGCCAGAGAAAGCGTGGGAAAGGCAGCGCGTGCTGCTGTGTCATAACACGAGACAGTGTGTGGAATCTGGACCTTCTGGAAATTCAAGTCTGTTCCACAATTAACCACATGAAGTTTTCTTTTGACAAGCTAAAGTCAGTTTCACTGAGCCTGAACACGTGCCTGACGTTTAGGGCGGGGTTCACCGCTGAAGGTGAGGATTTTGTTTTAGACAGTTCTCATTATTTAACAGAAAATCAAGTTTAATTTAAAAGGATTGACATATATGTTTTTAAAGCAGAATATTGAGTCCATTACCCACTAAAGTACATCCTCAATTAAGAGCATGTGACCCTCCCCACCTGAAATCGTCCTAGCTATGCTGATCTTGTACTCTTGGTTACATCTTGGGGACTATGTGTGAGAGGGACAGCTAAACAACAAAAGTGACTGGGAAGTGGGACATAGAAGGAGCAAATCTAAAAGAACCTCTCTCTCACTCTCTCACTCACTCACACACTCACACACTCACACACTCACAACGCAACAGAGTTTGGAGTTTCTGCTTTGCTGCTGTAGCCAGAAAAGATGATCCTGTAAACACGCCAGAAATGTAACCACAGTCTGAGTCCTACATCACTCTTTACTATATAATGCACTACATTTGGTGTCCAATTTTACTTGATGTTCTGCCAGTAAATTCCCACAACTGAACAAAAATGAATGCTACTACAAAAATCACACAATTGTCAGAAATCTCAGTTTACTCCAAAGTATACTAGTGTCTGTTATACAGGGAGCAGCGAATGACTGGATTAGGGAGTCATTTTGGACACAGACACTGTTTTGTAAACAGTTTGTCAGCATAAGTGCTGAAGATAAACTGTCGATCTTCCCTTCTGCTGGCCTTTTCTTCCAGTTATCAACCTGCAGTACTGCAGAGATTCCACAAGAGGTCAGAGGAGGATCGAGTGACTGATGTCTCTGGACAGAGTGTCTCAGTCTTGGCACAGTTCCTCTCACTGTTATTCCCCACAGGACTTAAATAATGTAACATCTGTCCTCCTCTTACAGATGTTTGGATTACAAATCACGTAGCAGCAATCATGGCTGGTAAAGGACACGCTTCTTTATACACCTACACACTTTTTAAATCTATTCTCCAAACAGCATTGAGTGTCTCTGCTTTTGTACTGCAGTTTAATATGTGCAGTCGACATGCTAATTCACAGCATGAATGTCTTCCGTTCTGCTCAGTTAGAGTTTGAGTATAAACAATAACAAGTAGCTCTGATACTCAAAACCGTCTCTGCCCCTTTTACTTTCTTTGTGGATCTCAATCACTCTCCCTCTCTGTTTGCCTCCATCCTCGACATACATTCATTCCTGCGAGTCCTCATCTTTTTCTCGACGAAAAGCACAGAAACAGTGAGGGTGCATTTTTTTTCTCATGGTGAGGGTGCATTACAGGGTAACCCAACCTCCCCCGGCCCTCCTGTCTCCCCTCCCCTTCCTCCCCTCCCCTCCCCTCCTCTCCTCTGCTCTGCTCCCCTAGTCGTCTCTGAACCAACCCACAACATTGGGAAAAAAAAGGGGGAAATATGTGAATATAGCACTGGTAGATTTCAGATGATATTATAGATATTTAGACTACGGTCAGGATTATCATACGATAGTATGGGAATTAAACTGACTTCCTCCCAGTATCAGTGCAAAGGAAACACACGCTTTACCACTTGCCCATACTAAACACTTTATGACACAAACAGTGATGCATCACACTTATCATGCCGACACTGGCTGAGTAAGAGATAGTTACTGTGAGATATTTTAAACATTTTAAATGGGAGACATGCATAAATAATCCGGTTTGAAAAGTGCCAAATATCGTCAGAAGTCTCCAGGTAGACTAGAGAAGTGTTATGTGATGTAGTGCAGCGGTTGTGTATGCAATCGTGCAGACAGAGCAGGTGCGTTTCACCCTGAACCAACCACAGCACATTTGCATTTATCCAGAGCAGGCAAACTGCAAAAGCTTTCACAGAGCAAAGCCGCAACTTTGGTTGACACTTTGCATGGTCTGCAAACGGGACAACATTCGTAAAGTAATAGCTACAGTCATGCTGCTGGCTGAAATGATGATATTAAATACAAATTCTGTGTCACCATTTGTGAGGATGGACAGAACGCGTCATCATTATGTTATCTGAGGGTACTGTGTATGCACTGCTGACCCAGACTCAGTTCTCATCTCTATCCCATTGTCACTGCCTCTTACTGGAGAAGAGACTGTAACAACGCCGATCTTCTTCACAGCTGTGCTGTGAAGAAGATCGGCCTCTGTCTTCATCCCCAACAACCATGAGAGGATGAACCGCAATTTTGGAAAACAAGACAGGTTTCCTGCAGTAAAGCTTGCATTAGCCTTTCTAACACATCTCTGATATTTTGTCTTTTTGTCTCCCCCGAAAAAAATATTTATCTAAATCTAAGGTGGGTCTTTATGGTGATTTTTCGACAGTCAAAGTAGAGCAAAACAAATCCATCCTAGTTTCTGTAACTACATGTCCTGTTCAGGGTCATGTGGAGCTGGAAAGGACTTAAAATGCCCAGCGTGAGAGGCAGAGTATCCCTTGGATACCGATAGGAAGTTACACACAACCAAAACAGTTTCTAAACACATTAACACCTATGGACAATTTAAAGTCTCAAATCCATCCGACTGGAGGTTTTTACAGAAATAAGCTGCAGTTTATGCAACCTAAGCCTCACATATAATAAAAGGTAAACAACACCGTTGTTGTCTTTATAATAAATGCGCCATCCTCCAACGCTATGTCCGCAAATGAGCCAAGAAAATCCCCGCTTTTGTATGCTTTTCAAAATTTAAATTCAGTATTTCAATTTCTTAAGACAACAAGCCTCAATCAGTATTGTTTGTACAAGCAGATAATGAAAATACCCATAATAATGACTTGTCAGTATGTGCTTGTGCCTCACATGCATTTGTCCGGAAGATAATCACGCCATAGAAGTAATTTCTACGGCAAACTCAAACAGTCCAAATAATAGATTTTTGTATTGTGTGTGTGTGTGTCGGCCGACACAGACAGTCTATCAGATTGTGGTCAGGTTTCCAAGGCTGACATAAAAAGCTCATCTGACACCACACACACACACACGTACTGTCATCAGCAGTCTAGATAAGGCTGCACAGCTGAGGGTACAGTAGGTATCACGTGAGACGAAGCCTCACATTGCCAGTTCTAACACGACACTACGCCGTGACTGTGCCAGCACAGCAGAAAGGTCTGACAGCAGACAGAAGGTCAAAGTGCTCTGGGCTGATTACATTTCTTACAACAATAATCTCTTTAACGGAACATTTTCCTCTTGCTAAAAGTGTGAAAATGTCATGATGAACGGACGTGATCCAAACAACCCACTGACTGACCGTGTGGGGATCAGACGAGGAGGAGGAGGAGGCTGCAGAGGGCGTTGGGGAGTGCTTGTAGTTTGTGGCGACGGTGCTGGTGTTGTTCTTGATGGCGTTGCGCTGCGGGACGTCACTGTAGTCCGCCGGGGGGAGCACCATGGTCGCCTCGTCTGTCTCCGTGTCCTGATGGTGGAGGTTGACCACACTTCTACTGCGGTACGGGGCCGTAGACACACTGTGGTAGGAGCAGGAGGAAGAGGAGGAAGGGTGAGGGGACGGATTACAAACAGATATATGAAGGAAAAGAAAGGATGAAAGATGGAAGTGAAGAAGGAAGTAGGAGAAGGGGAAAAATAAAGCCACTAAAACTAATTTGCATGTGGGTGTACTCCTGTTTTTCTATCTTCAAGGGCTGTATCTTGGGTTTAGGGTTACTTATTGTTTGGCTTACAGGCATGATGAAAAAAACAAGGTTTGGGGCACAAACTAAATACAGTCAGTGGAGGGTCCTCACAAGGACAAAAGGACCAGGATGCTTATGCGTGTTGTGTCCCCCAGCGCTGGTTATACTTTAAACTTTCTGTGGCAGTTGGTTGGCAGCCTCTCTCTGGGAGGTGCAGCACATTAAGATCTAATAAATTAATCCGACAGGGATTAGTCTCTTTGAAGAAAAGGCTGGAGTCGACTTCACTGAACCTTCTCTCTCTCATCAGCAGCTAAATCTATTCATCAGCACAAAACATCCTGTTTCCTCATATTCTGCTGAGCTTGTGTGACATTTTAGATTCATTTCAGTTACACAGAATTTGTATGAGCAAAACACACGCAAACATTGTTTTACGGTGTATGAATCCTTTAACGAATGCATCCCTCACTCTGCGTTGTATAATGCAACACAACAAACTCTTTCAAACAGAAAAAGCTTCATACGGTTAGACGATTGAGGAAACAAAATAAGCACAACAGGAATCAAAGGTTGAGGAATGGGAGAGTCCCTCATAAGATTCGAAAGATTACCTCTCTAACAGGAGTAACTAGAGGAAACAGTGCCAACAATACAGCTGGCTGCAACATGAAACCTGCCACTGTGTGTGTGTGTGTGTGTGTGTGTGTGTGTGTGAACCTGGAGTCTCCTTACCTGTTGTTATTCACGAGAGGCTCGGAGAGAGCACGGCAGTAAGATGAAGGGAACCAGCCCCTCCTGCAACACACAGACAAAGACAGAGAAGCCAAGTTAGAGATGATTACATCCGAGGTATATCCTGCTGCCAGCCGGCCCGATCGGCTCTCATTGCACAGGAATCCAAAAGCCTCTAAATGATTAGCATAGAGCTATGCTGGTCGGCCCTCAACTCAATGAATTCCTCCATCTCTTAACCAGAAGATAAAGACACATATATGCCTATTTCCCCCACAGTATTGTGGGGATGCTATAGAGCTATTATAAGTATCTGTATTTTTGTATATACTGTGTGGATGTATGTCCGTGGTTACTGAAAAAGTTGGACTTCATCACAGCAAAGACGTCCTCAGGAATGGATGGCTCCGATTTGTAAACGGAGATCATCAAAGGGAACCTTTTCAAATGCCTTTGATTCGATGGAATTTATCTGTTCTAACAGCAAATCTCCCCTGTTGGTCGGGGACTGTTTGTAATCCATCTTTTATAAGAAGCAAAAGGAAATCAGTGACTTGAATGAATCAAGGGCTTGTGGTGAAGGTCTTATCTCAAAGCAGCTGAGCTGACACACGATTCGGGTTTGTTTGGAGCTACAATGAATCTTTGCGCTTGTTTAATAAATGAGTCGATATCCGAGTCAGGCTGCAGAGACCCATGAAGTTTCTGGTGGCCTCAGTGAGATAAAATCAAGCAGCCTTTTGTCCGTGCCGACACATACACACACCAAAACAACTGCATTGTGGAGTTGAAAACCACATTGAGAAAAATGAGATGAAGCTAGTCAAATGATTTCACCAAATTTAGGCGCCCCGACACCTTCTCACCTTGATCTGATCAAAAAAAAAAAAAAAAAAAAAAAAAAAAAACTTAGTTAAGCTTGAAAACACATTTTAAGGAATTGATATGAGAGAATGAAAAGGTTTATAAAATTAAAAATGAGTCACAGCTTGACTTTATCAAAAGCTCAGAGCAAGGACTGTGTGTCATTGTGCCGTTATGGTACAAGATTGTTCGTAATCAGTACATACATATAAGTTATACATGTTAATATTTGCACTTCTGGCATAGGAAAATGGGCGTTTCCTTTGTGCACCCGAGATTAAAAAAAAAAAAGACTCCTGCTGGAAAATACACCTCACTCAATCTCACTCATAGTAACAGCAGCTTTATTTATCAAGGGAAAGGTTTCCCACTGGACAGGTTCACTGAAACAACTTGGCATTAATAAAAACCTTGTTCAAGGACAACTCACGAGTACTGGTAGCCAAGGGTGTTAACTTTCCCCAACTGACTTTTGCTGGACAAGAAAGCAAAACTCTAACAAGCCTGCTTGAACGATAAGACAGTGGGATCAAGTTAATGTCGGAAAAGTGACCACGATGATAATACGCATGGTCACATGTCATTATTTGTCAAATGTTGCCGCGGTGTAGTATTTATCACCAAGTGTCTTGCTGACATTCATCCCTCAGTCCATCAACAGTGCGTGTGTGAATCAGTCTAGGTGTTGCCAGGCGAGTTGCCGGGAAACACTATCAAAGCAGACATAAGACAAAGGGAGAAACTCAGCGAGAGACCCAAACGCATTAAAGCCAAACCTCCTGCAGGCCCTTGATCAGTTTTATATACTGTACATTTGCCAGGTAATCTCTCTTGATGGTGATACAGATCAAACCTGATGAATGATACAAATTAAAAACAACACTTCCAGGATGTCAGATCAAATCCACGTTTCAAAAATCAGACATCAGAGACCCGGGGAGAGTGGGCCCGGTTGGTGCCCGTCTGTGTGGGAGAGCAGGTGGTACTCTGAACTTCTCTCTGTGCCTCCCTCGAGCCCGCTATCCTACATCCAACCCTCAGGCCATACTTTACTTTGATTTCCTTAGTCAGGCAGCACTCGGGGAGCCGAGAGCTGTGCGAGTGCGTGGACATGGTCAGCATAACAATCTGACGAGGGACCATCTGGCCAGCGCAGTCCGACTCGTGTCAATCCTCTAACCGGTAGGAGGGTGGAGGAACATGACAAATAAAACAATGGATGATGAAGTGTAGGCGATTATTGTAAATCCACATATCAATGTACTGTATGAACAGAACAGCATGCCTTTCCTTATTTGGATAATCTTAGTTTTTAATGACATATAATTCAGACACGTGTGGTTCGACTCACTTTCCATTCTTCTCCAGCTCGCCGTACATCCACCCGTCTCTCTCGTCGGGGATGAGCAGGGCGATGACGTCTCCCTCTTCGAAGCTGAGCAGCGTGTTGTTGCTGCCGGCGGTGTGGGGGAAGATGGTGCGCACTCGCATCCTCTTCACTATATTGTTGAGGCCAGTGGCGACGGACACGGACCTGGCCAGATTGTGGTCCTCGCTGCTCACGTGGTCTGGGGAGTGAGGAAGGAAGAAAGGTGAGGATGATGATGAGGAGCAACAGTGAGAGTAACGACTTGAGCAAAATGTTGCTTTGAGCTTCGATATTTTCTCATTAGCAATCAACATAATGTATAGCCGAGGCTGATGGGAATGTCATTACTTTGGCAGGTATTTGGTCATAAATCAAAATACTGGAAAATTGTCAAATTCGACCCGGTGATGGCGCTAATTGAAAGATCAGCGTATCAAAATGTGAACGTCTGTACCAAACTGAACGACAATCCATCCAATAGTTTTCACGATATTTCAATACAAGACAAAAACATCAACTTTGTGGTGGCACCAAAGGAAAAGTCAATGGACTGTATCCTTTTAAAACATCTGTAGCACATTTTATGACAGCCCATCCAGTGCTTGTTTAATCATTTATAATAAACATTTATTTGATACAACCATTTCATCCTGAAATGCGTCTCTGTTGCGCTGAGAGAGCAACGAAACAGCAATAGACAAAAGTGATACTCAAATCCAAATCCAAGTGAAACAGATGCTATTTGTTCTAGGAACAAGAACAGACAGTTCTTGTTGGGTGCACTACAAAAGCACAGGCTTAAAGGTAAACAGTGTGAAGCCTTTAGGGGGATCTATTGGCAGAAGTCATCACAACACAGAGGTACCAAATTAAAAACCAATGCCATATTACCTATGCTGTTTTTGGTGGGGCTGGTTACGGTGGTGGTGTTGTTCTCCTGGGTGAACATGTTAGCCAGAGGACTGGTCTGAGCCTTCAGAGGCGGAGCCAGAGGAGCGGACATGTTCTGCCACAACAACATTAATCAAAACGTTAGCGTGTGAATACACAATCTTTTTCCAACTTGCCTTTGAACGTTCAAGCTAAATAATTGAATAAATACACCAAAACATGCAGCTGTTTTTATGGTAATATTTCAGGCAGATGTACCCTCCCCATTATTGTGACTTTGAAAAAAATCAGACCACATTTTATGACACAATTATGCAGAAATGCAGGGAGATATTTCCTGCTTCACCCACTATTCCTAGCACGACCAGCACTGGAGTGAAGCCAGTACTGTTATCTATATTTGACTGTTTAATGATCGCAGTCACTGCCTCATCAATAGCTAAACATTAACCTATAGCTTATTTAGCAAGATGCTTGATTTAAGACCCAGTAAAAGTCACCGATCCAACATACTGTAAGATATAAACAAGTCATTCCGACTGGCTATAGTCATAACATATTAAACATCATTACATTTATGTGAATATTAAGCTACATCATGCTTAATAAATGTGGTTTATCTTGATTACAGAACATACACGTTGTTCAAACTAACTCCACATTTTAAAGAACTCCATTCTCTCTTCATTGATATGCAAACCTATGCAGCAAAGTGCTCAGGAATCATCTAATCTGTAAGTAATCATAAGACGTTATTTGTGCCTCCCCATCGTACCATACTGTGCCGCGACGGGGAGGGAGAGGGCAGAGGTGTGATGACGACGGGCGTGCGCAGTCCGTCGATCATGGACAAGATACTGTCGGGCATGTCGGAGGCGTCGTTGCACCGGTCCTGCCAGCTCTTTAGCTTTGCCGTCAGCATGTCTCTGGCCTGTCCAGCAGGCGTGGACGCAAGAAAAGATATTAAAAGAAAACATGAGTAATCAGCGGAAACAGTGCATACATTTTCATCACTATGGCAACATGAGAGCACTGAGATTGGGGGTTGAGGAATAAATTGTTCAATCTCAGGTCTTGAATGTTTATCTCCGTGCGGTATAATCTGATGTACTATCTCGGCGACATATTTGGATTCCCCTTTCAAAGCCACATTGAGTCTAACATAAAGATAGCTTTACGCCTCCACTGCAACGTAGCCTGTGCAGCGTTTATACAAGGAAAAGCTTGACTTGATTCTAACATAATAAGCAGCAGAAGGGACTTGTACCTTCTCGTGGAAGGAGGCATACTGGTAGGAGAACATGCAGTGTTTGTCCACCAGGAAACAGAAGCGTCTCTTCTCCTCCAGCAGAGCCTCCTTACAGCCGTCTGCGATGAACAGCTGCATGTCCATCTGACGGCTTGTCAACGTTTCCAGGCACTGAGACAACAAAAGCACACATAATACAATATTATAACAGTTACATAATTAGTCAATATGAATAGATTGAAATCCATTATTAGCGTGTCTTTTGTTATCCTCTGTCTTTCAAACTACCATCTTAATTCGATCATCATGTCTTATCTTCTCCCACCACACGGGTTGAAGCCATCTAGTCCCTTTTCACTGCCCGTCTGTGCACAAACCCAACCAGGGCAAATAACATGAAGCAGGTTTACGTTCTGAATATCCTAATCTCTCTCTTGCAGGGGGAAATGTATTATTAGACTACAGTTTACTGCACTGACAGATAAGGGTGCTTTGTGTGTTTAGTGAAAGGACTGAGCACCAGGAACAAAACACAGCAGTTGTAGGGAGGGAATGCGTTATCTACACCGATTATAAAAAAAAGGTCGGAAGGCTATTGAAGGGATTTTTGACTAGTGTGTCCTTGTGCATGTATGTGAAAGTGAACACACGATGTCTTTACCTTTAATGTTACCATTAATAACCAGTGCCCAGGTGTGAGCATTTACAAATATTACATATGATCATTGTGTGGATTTGAATTCTGGCTCATACAATGCATTTGTATGATTTTCCAACCAATCGTTCACATCACACAGATTAACATCTTCTCAAAAAGAGTATTAGGAAACTCAGTCGGACCCTTTTTTTTAACATCGTCTTTTGTCCCCGAGTCGTTGTCAAGGCTACACCTGGGATCTGTATCGTCATCCTCATCCAAGTTCCTGGAATTGGCACGCCCGTAACGGTTGTTGATACAATGGCACACACACCCTCTCTATTCACTTTTTACAACCGTCCTCTTCCGATAAGTCGCTGATGGCTTTATTTACCAGGAAGCTGTGGTGGGTTTAGTGCATTTATGCCCATTAAACATATTTAACATGGAAATGTGGCAGCCACTCGGTAGGAGAATGTTAGTAAATTTACCCAAATGAATGTGAACTGCAATAATAAACATCATTAAAATGCTTAATTCCTATCTAATTACTCCACCAAAATGTTTGTAGAACTGTCCCTCTGGGTGTCAAAATCACAGAGTAAACATGCCCTCATAACTCAAACAGAAACAAACAATACTACTGAATTATTAGAAGATATTAAAAAAACATGACCTCTGCAAACCTGTGTATGCATTCAGTGGCAAAAGTGACTCTGAGCGGCGGTGATGTCATCTTTGTCCAAACAGTGTCGTCTGTCTGCCTGACCGCATGTGAATCTGTCCGTCTCTCTAACAACAGGAAATCCTGACATGAACTTCTCCGTTTAGAGTTGCTGATATCTCGACCAATACCCGACGTTATAAGACGCGGATCTCTGTGGCTACGTGTCAACAAACAAGCAGATGTCAATTTCTGAACCAACCACACACACACACACACACACACACACACACACACAGAGAGCTGCTGTCTCTTTATTTCTCTTTTGCTGCCGTTGCTTTTCCCCCACTGACGTCCCACAATCTCACCCTGCTGCTCTAACTACAAGCTTTACTGCAACACAATCAACTCACTATTATGCAGTATATTTAAAGAACATAACATGTAACCCAAAAGTCAGATTGGGTTTATGACGACCACAGACACTTAACTAAAACTTTAACTGACCTTTAATGTTGTCCAAAACTAATTGGAAGCATACTCTTGCTTTGCTGACTTCCAGTAAGTATTTGACTGTTGTACTCTTTAAATAGTATTTGTGATAACATCTGACTGACTGTATACCAATCAATTGTCTGTGAAGAGTGTGCTTTTCAGCCCAATATTAAACATCTCGATGAAGGATTGAACTAGCAGTTACTTCTACACTGCAATGTTTTCTACACGGCAAAAATTACAAAAACATCGGATATTAAATAAAGATTTTATCATAAATTCTCATATTCTTGTCCTTGGAGAGGAAAGGTGAGCGTGCCACACTAGCTACATTACAGTGTGTTTCCAACTGACTACCACCATGTTCAAATAAATATTCATAACATGCATTCATTTAGCTCATTGTAATGTTCTACGATGTAATTATAATTTGTATTATTGTTTTGACGAGGAAAACTGCTGAATGTCATGCCAATAAAGATCGTTTGAATGGAATAGAACTAAGAGAGAGATGGAGAACGAGAACACCTTTCCAGAACTGTAGAGGTGGGCGGCATAGTTTCTACCAACAAGTGGATGAGGGAAAAAAGTGGTACGCACACACACACACACACACACACACACACACACACACACACACACAC